ACAATATCGCCCACCCGTATGGGCTCATCCCTGTGATTGGTGAGGAACAGTAGGTCTCCCCTATAAAACGCCGGTTCCATACTTCCGCTGCAAATACGGCACACATTTGTTAACCCATTAAATGGGGAAATGGATGCGAGATATACCTGAGCACCACGACTATGGGCGACTCGCTATTGGTCATCACAATGAGTCCCTTCCAGATCATGAGGGCTGTCGACACAATCATACCAAAGTTGAGGATCTGGTATAACAGCTACCGGTGCCGTATTAGATGATACATGCGATGGGAAATACATGCAAAACACAATACAATCATTAGATGCAATGCAAACATAACACGTGTATCAACACAGGTATGGGGGCTGGTAGTGGTGGTGGAGGACAGGTAGCTGGTGACTGACCTGGCGTTTGTCCATTTTGAGTACATCGCTCAGCCCTAACGAGTCGACCACAAAGTTACCCATCTTATTTTGTTGCGCTTAAAACACACGTTAAAATAAATGTAAAACTAATGGAAAGTAAAACACAAATGAATGCTTTAATTAGCGACACATTCACTACAAATGTGTAGACATTATGATCGGTGTATGGCTTGCAATGGAAATGCAAAATATGTTATGCAATGAATGCCTACAACAACACCAATACAACCGTTTCATATGGTTTTGTATCGCCGTTTCAATTAAACTTAGAGCCAATGCTGTACTGACACGACGTTTGTCTACCCATTGCTCACTCATACGTGTGGCGTAACCACCGGTGTATGACTGCCATAGCGCGCAGGTATTGAATTTCAACGTATGCTAGACATGCCAGTGACGTACCCACGAGTGTACACTGTATGTGATGTATGAAAAAGTTTTTGTTTGTTTTGTTTGATAAATATTTGACTTAAAATACTAACAAAGTTATTTTAATTAAAAATATTTTAGCAAAATGTTTTTAATTTAATTAATTTCCCTTGTATAATGCACATGACAGTTAAAAATTAGTTTTAAAATCGATTCAAAGTACACTAAAAATAATGTGATAAAGAGTTAATTATAACGCCAGTCGACTGTACCACTCATTCATAAACGCCGGCAAAAATAATTAGCCGTAAAAACAGGTTAACTGCAAATCAAACCCCCATTCAGTTTATGGTAAACACAAGCGTAGGGTTAACACTATTTGACACCAACTGTCAGCACGTGTTGTGTAATATTGACACCAAAACACTGTTTACTGACAATTCAAACGTCAGATCAGATGAAAGTGATGTCAACACCAGCGATGACCACCGAAAACAACTACTTTCGCCGCGATATCTCTGTGGACAACGCGCTGACCACCGATGGCCACACATCGGCCGAGTTGGCTATGGATCAGCTGTGTGTGGGTGATGTCGGGTGTGT